GCGGCCGACCTATATATTGAAATCATAATTAAAGCTTATTCGAATCAAAATCCAAAACTCACAATGTTATTGCTAGAACATCCTTATTTGGTGTAGTGTTGAGGCATGCATTTGGACCACGTGTTCTCGCGTTTTTTTGGTATCGTGTCAAACTACCCTGCAGATATAAGAGTGGTAAACAATTTGTTGAAGTTGTTGAATTTGTGTCACTGAAAATATGTTTAAAATATGCCATAGTCGATTTCTTAATGTAGACAAAAAAATTGGTTTCTACAATATTGTTTTAATTTATCTCCATTTTATCCTGTATAGTTTTTTTGTTTGAAAGTTGTTTTGTTAATTTATGTAACTTTATTTGATTACTTGAACTGTATTATGTTAACTGATATTATTATCAGAACTGTACACGTTTTATTTAGGGATGAACTCGTAAGAAGTCCTATTACTGTTCTGGATTATTTCTGGATATTTTAGATTAGATATAACTGAAAATCTCAATCTGAGGTGTGAATTGGCGCGATTCCATACTATGAGGATACTTGGGATTCTTTTGTCGTATCGGCCAGAGCTCAACCGAAAATGTTTTCCTATATTTCCTCTTAATTAACAACACCTTTGTTTATTAGAGGTGTGAATCGTTCAGTCAACGACAAAACAATAAAAGATTTACAATATTTGAATTACAAAGCCAACAATATTGAAGTGTTACTATATTTACCTAACCCTCCATGTTAAACTTCCCTATCCCAAGCGTGATGTATACAACTTCCTTACTTCTCGAGTGATGTAAAGTTGAAAAAAACTCACTCGGTGATGTAATGAAACCCATTTAAATAACATTGAGTGGATAACTTAAAAAATATACCTCTATGGAGCCAACGACGTTCAACGCTAGATATCAGCTGTGTTTGAATTTTATTGTTATGCTTTGAAGAATTTTCCTAACCTAGCTTTTGTTTGTAAATGAACGTTACTGTTAGAAGATGAGTGAAATTGATAATGAAGCATATTGCTCGTAACCTCCTGAATATTGTCGGGTCAGGTAAAATCTTGTACGTTACACGTTACGCAAGAGCGTGTTTACATCACTTCGGTGAATTATGCAACTCGCCTTCGCTCGTTGCACAACATTCACCTGCGTGATGTAAAAACGCTCTTACTACACTTGTAATGTAAATAGCTATTACCTAACCCTCCATGTTAAACTTCCCTATCCCAAGCGTGATGTATACAACTTCCTTACTTCTCGAGTGATGTAAAGTTGAAAAAAACTCACTCGGTGATGTAATGAAACCCATTTAAATAACATTGAGAAAATAAACTATTCACACACTGTTAACAAGAAAAAGTTCAATATATTTTGGCACAAGGAACAAAACAAAACAAAACTGATACAGAGTGGTAAACACATTATTTGTTTTGTTTTGTGCCTGAAGAAGGCTAAAGCCGAAATATACAGGGTTATTACAATGATGTTCCTGATTTTGATTATTGAGCGGAGCGAGCGAAGCTCTTATACGTCGACTTTTATGCATTTCGTAATACGCAAACTCCTCCTAGACGGCTGAATCAATAGTTTTCAAATTTTGCATGGTGATAAAGACCATATCGGTGAGTGCCAACATCTATATGGCGTTAAAAAAGTCTCTCAGGAATCCGCCCCACTGGGTCTCAAAGTTTCAATGAAATCCTTATGGAAGCAGTATTTGACACATAAACAAAGACATATGATCAGCTGTTGACTTTTGAATGCAGTAGATAAATAAATAGCTGATAGCATTATTCCACAGATATTAGAACATAAACGGTGGAATGGATCATAAATATAATCAAATGACGACACTAGCTTGAGGTCCGTGACGTAGGAAGTGGTGAAAGAAGTAGTCAAGGCGAGCTGCCCGGAGTGTTTGAACTGTTTATGACGATTAGATTAAGGTATCTGCATTCCTAAAATTCTATGGGAAGGGAGGAAAACGGGTCCGCGACGTAGGAAGTGGTGAAGGAAGTAGTCAAGGTGAGCTGTCCGGAGTGTGGAAAGTGTTTATGACGATTAGATTTAGGTATCTGCATTCCTAAAATTCTATTGGGAAGGGAGGAAAAAGGGTCCGCGACGTAGGATGTGATGAAGAAGTAGTCAAGGCGAGCTGTCCGGAGTGTGGGAACTGTTTATGACAATTAGATTAAGGTATCTGCAATCCTAAAATGCTATTGGAAGGGAAGGAAACAGGTCCGTGACGTAGAAGTGGTGAAGGAAGTAGTAAGGGCGAGCTGTTCGGGGTATGGGATCTGTTTATGACCATTAGATTAAGGTATTTGCAATCCTAAAATGTTGTGGGAAGGGAGGAAAACAGGTCTGCGACGTAGGAAGTGGCGAAGGAAATAGTCAATGCGAGCTGTCCGGTATGGGAACTGTTCATGACCATTAGATTAAGGTATCGATCTACAATCCTAAAATGCTATGGGACGGGATTAAAACAGGTCCGCGATATACGAAGTGGAGAAGGAAGTAGTCAAGGCAAGCTGTCCGGATTGTGGGATCTGTTTATGACCAATAGATTAAGGTATTTGCATTCCAATAATGCTAAGGGAACATTATCATTCCGTCCGTGACGTAGGAAGTGATGAAGCAGTAAAGGCGAGTTTTTTGGAGTGTGGGAACTGTTCATGACGATTAGATTAAGGTATCTCCAATCCTAAAATGCTATGGGAATAGAGGGAAACAGGTCCGTGACGTAGGAAGTGGTGAAGGAAGTAGTAAACTCAAATTGTCCGGAATGTGGGATCTGTTTATGACCAATAGATTAAGGTATTTGCAATCCAATAATGCTAAGGGAAGGGAGGTAAACAGGTACGTGACGTAGGAAGAGATGAAGAAAGTCGTAAAGGCTAGCAGTGCAGAGTGAGGGAACCGTTTGGGCAGTTAGATAAATGTATCTAATACTTAAATGCTATGAGAAGGGAAGGAAACAGATTTTTATAGTAAAGTATGAACATATTGTGAGGGGGTAGCGGATTTTTATCCCCCTGGAATTTTACCCCCTGGGCAAACGTGACGTCACAAACCAGGGGGTAAAATTCCGGCCGCGAACTTTTGAGTTTCGCGACATCAGCTCGATGGATTACACGCGGAATTAAACATATATTTTCACGGTTGTGAATTTAATCAGAACACATCAAATTATAAAAACCTAGAATGTACGGCCCGGATTTTTACCCCCGGAATTTTACCCCCGGAATTTTACCCCCCCGGATTTTTACCCCCGGAATTTTACCCCCGGAATTTTACCCCCCGGATTTTTACCCCCGGAATTTTACCCCCTGGCCAGATATATAAATAAGTGAGAATTATTAATTAACTTCATTCAGTTTTAATTTAATAGTAAACATTTTATTATTAAGTACTGTAGCCTATCTTAATTTATTTGTAACATTAACTATTTTGAGATTCGAGTATGAGGATTCAATCTTTGAAGCCAACTGATGGTTAATATGATCAAAATAAAACAGCGAATTCTGTTTACTTAGTTGAGATTAAAAAATAAATAAAGATAGGCTCCTAAATAATGAAATGTTTACAATTAATTAAATCGTAAATAAGAAAATCCATCATTCTATTTCTTAAATCGGCCAGGGGGTAAAATTCCGGGGGGTAAAAATCCGGGAGTAAAATTCCGGGGGTAAAAATCCGGCCCGTACATCTTCAGTTGCCTAAACGCTAGTTATATGGACAGGGGATAAAATTCCGGTTTTTATCGCTAATCTAATTAATCACGCTCTGGCTATTTTCATTAGACTTCCAAATCCGCGGGGTTAAAATTCCGACCGCGAACAAACTTTTGGTCACTCAGGTTACTACGTCATAGTGACGTCAGCTTTGCCCAGGGGGTAAAATTCCGGCAACCCATTGTGAGAACCGTCTGTGGCAGTTAGATTAATGTATCTAATACTTAAATGCTATGAGAAGGGAAGGAAACAGGTCTATGACGTAGGAAATGGTGAAAGAATTAGTAAGGCTTGCAGTGCAGAGTGTAGAAACTGTCTTTGGCAATTACATTAATGTATCTGCAATCCTAAAATGCTATGGGAAGAGACTGTAGACTGTAGGTTCAAATGATTATGAAGCACGAATCGTTAAATAATTCGATACGTATTCAATCGTTTACAATAGAAATTTACAACTGAATTGACAACAGCTGAGTTTTACTTCATAGAGGCTAAAAACGAATTTTATTCCCTAAAGAGTAAAAGAGCTACTTTAGACCCGCAACGCATGCATCAATGACGACTGTTTTTACTGTAGTATGACAAAAACAATATAGGCTAATATGAACCCTTGATGACTCCGCTCAATTTTGTGGATGCATCTGCGAACGCCACCTAGTAAATATTACTGGGATAATTTGTTTTAAGACTGTTTTAGTTGGTACAAGTGGAAACGAAAACTTATAAAGTTCCATTTAGATTGATTTGTGTGCATATCAGCTGTTTATCATGTCAATTGTTGTAAGTGTTGTGTAATGGCTGAGTTTGTAGACAAGAAAGCTTTATGTATGCTGGATTATCACCAATATGTTATTAGTGTACAACGACACTTTAGAACCAGGTTTAACGATGATCCTTCAAGTATCCACTCTATTGGCAAGTGGTGCTTGAATTTTTAGAAAAATGGTTTCATTTGAATGTTACTCTTAGTAGGACTGAACTTAACAATATGTTGCCTGAGAGATGGGTCGGGTCGAATAATGACACACTCCTGAATTGGCCTCCACAGATCATCTTTGTATTGTACCGGCTCACCCCTTGCTTTGCTGTATACATTCTACGCACGGACAAATAATCTATATGGATGGGCAAATGCAAGGTTAAGAGGCCAAAAATTGTTATTATTGATTGCAAAAGGTTCGTAATTACATTGCGACTTGAAATGCACCATAGAAGAAGTAAGGCATAAACAGTAACTTATAATGAAAGGTGGAGTAACATTGAACAATTTGGTAACACAACAATTTAGCTTTATTAAATAGTTTTATCACAAACACTAAGCTATATTTACAATTTAAGTCGAAATAGGGCAACAACAATGGCTTATTTACAAATAATTTCAACATTAAGTGGCCAATAGTATTTACACAAATGGAAGGTTATTGACCACTCTGGAGTGTGGGCTTATGGAGGGAGATCTTGATTTCTGCATCTGAAAACATAAAATGTCACAATATCAGATACTAATAAACATTCTATAAACTCTAAAGAAAAAAATCTCCTACGTAGTCCAGATCTGAAGTACTAATAATTAATATATCCAGATCTGAAGTTCTAGTAATATATCGGTGCAGTTGTAGTTTCTAAAAGTTTGAAGCTACATTATTCCTAAAAGCGTTAAGGTAAACAAAATATTAAATTAGCGCTTTTTAAGTATTTAAATTGTTTTTACCTTGTTTACTTGACAATTTGTAATCACTATTACCCTATTACATAGTAAATCTTTAAACTTGTTAAAATTCAAACATCTCATATCTCAATAAGATTCATATGATAAATATTTATCTACTAGCAGAGTACCCGTCCTTCGTACGGGGTTGGCATAGAAGTATAAAATGCTTATTGCAGTTACGGGAGAGGACACGGTTTAAGGAAATTTGGTCTTTAAATTTATACGGTATCCTATAGTGAGGCACACATCTATTTGTCACAAACATCCATCCATCCACCCATCAATCCATTCATACATCCATACAACCAAACGTTTTTACTTATAATATTAGTAAGTTAGGATAAGTAAACTGTTGTAATATTGCTTGTTTATGTATATATTTTTATCAAACTTGGCAAATTTCTTTCTTTCATACTAAGCTAATACTTAATATTTGCCTATAAATCACACTTTGTTACCCTCCCTGCAGGCAGCAAACCTAGGTAATCGTTAAGCCTAATGTTATTGAATTAGATTTAATTTAAAATAAAGTCACACAAATGGAATTTTGCTTAGGCTGCAGGTTTGCTGCGGTGGGGGTATTATGGAATTTATATTTATGTAGAAAGAAGACATTTGTGGTCGTAGTGATTAACTCTAATTTATATAAGATACTAAATAATCCCGTTGGTCACAATTAGTAGCGCCGGTCGCTTGTTATTTGAACAGCTACTGCAAACCAGCGCTGTTTACACAGAAATAAATCAAAAAAATAAACCTAATAAAACTCAGGATAATGGCCTGGCAATGATTATAGAATCTTAATTATTTCTTATATCCATGAATGATTTATTTTACAACGAATTATTCCCTGTAAAATATTATTACAGCATTTCACAAATATTAGTACAAACTCAGTATAATAGATCATAAACATAAACAAATGAAGTAACTAAGAGAATCATACACTAATGAAATTAAATTAACATATGGTTTGACAGCTCCATTTAAGTGATGTTAAATAATGTTTACATTCGGGCTAGTGACATCATTATTTTAAATTTATAATCCTTACCCTCTCTGTTCTAATATTCGTGCAGTATTTAATATGTTTCAACCAGCTGTGTGGAATTGTGAAATCAAAATTCATTTGACAGTTAGTTCTGCTTGTTTACATTTTTAAGCTTTGTAGGTTTGTTCTTTGTTACCATGGATACCATCAATCAATATTTACTTTTAAATCTCTCACCTAAAATTTTTGAATGCCCACGGGGCAGAGCCCTAGGACAATATCGACAGCGGGAATAGTTCTATATGTATCCTCGGAACTGTAGCTTCATTTGTGTGCAATTTGAGCCCCGTAGGTTCAGTAGTTTTTGAGATTAGCTCATACAAACACACAGACACCACCTCTTCTTTATAATAGTATATAGATAGATTTCTTTCCCTTTGCCAAACAAAATATCCAAGGTACATACCGGTAATGGAAATGTTTTAGTAGACAAAAGTTCAAATGCACATAACATTAAGTGTAATTAAAAAAATATAAATCATCACGTATTATGTATTTACTAGCAGAGTACCCGTCCTTCGTACGGGGTTGGCAAATAAGTATAAAGTGCTTATTGCAGCTCAAACTTTTGTAATGGGGATGGACAAAATTTGGTAAAATTAAATTTGTTTCTTTAAAATTACGCTAAGCTATACTATAACACATCTACCATAGCCATAATTTTCTACCACTGCACCTAAATCATAGAAAAAATTAAGTATCAAATATTCTCATAATATCACAAATTATTCATTAAATTAAAAACATAAACATAACTGTAAACAATCCCATTTTGACACTTCACATGGAGTATCACAGCTTTTTGTTGCTGCTTAGTTCAAATTGGCTGTTGTCATAAAATAATAATAGTGCTGCATCCTGTTGGTAAACCTTATAACTTTTTAATGCCATTGCACATATCATAGAACCAACTTAAATAGTTGAAACAGCTGACTAAATTCTTTTAAATTCCTTTTCAATATGAATACAAGTACTCATAAGGTTAATATGGGGAACAACAGAGCCACTGGGGCGGAGCCCGAAAAGATTTTTGAGATAAGAATAGGCCTATATGTTAATCGGGAATGTGAGCTATCATCATGCCAAATTTCAGCACAATCCGGCCAGTGGTTATTGCGTGATTGAACTTCAAACAAACAAACACAAACTTTCACATTTATAATATTAGTATGATTTGGAAAAACAAAAAATCAAGCTCATCTACAATTTTCTTTGAACATGCACTATATAGTGTATATAACATACTATATATGCACTATATATAGTAAAATGCAGCTTGACACAAGCGTAGCTAAGCCACATGGGATACATGCAGTTACATAATCTTAGAATACCTAGGTCAGAGTGCTTTGATGTCATTTAGCTGGCCTTATCCAGTACCTCATCTTGTTGGGATTGGCATGTAAAATTGCCTGAAAGAGGTTATCTTTTATTTTTACACTTACTTAGAGTTTGGCAATTATTGATAGCACATAAATACTTTTTATTGACCTAGTTTTATTAAGCCAATAAGAAAGTCTGCAGAAAATGTTTTCAGGGGGAAAACCAGTGTCTTGGTTCGTTCAGGGAAACGTCCTCCAACTAAAACTATTTAAATGTGTTTTTTAAATTTGTTGAGCTATCTAAAAATGGATTTATCTTCCAAAAATGATTACAATCAAACTTTTGTTTCTGAGCTGTCATACTTATCAATATTTTGTACTTATCACTACCATCATTGATGATGTATGTGCCGAAATATCAGTTTCCCATTAAAAAAGATTATTATTTTTTAAAATGTCCACTTGTTCATCCGTTTCAAGTGTAATTGTGTTTTTTTTTTTTTTTTTTTTGTTATGTTTTAGTGTAAAAACTTAGGCTCTGCAAAGACAATCATTTGACGCCTTTCTAACAGTTGGTCTCTCTACCAGAACTTAATATTTTTGAGGTTCCTTTTTAGTCATTTAAACTTTTCATTCTTTTTTCCATTAGTAGTGATTACACAGGTACTGGAATTATAGTTTAAATAGATTACACCGATTTTTTTAACATATTGATCCGTCTAAAGCCTTAAAAAGGTTACTTACTTTTTAAATTACTTTTAAATTTTTACTCTTTTAGTTTATTGGCACACGTGATCATTGATGTTTTGGGAATCGTTAGGCTATGACTACAGGTTTGATTAGGTATTCCTTCATAAATATGTATACAAATTGTTAAGCATTTGAAGAAGGAAAAAAATTACATGCAAGACAACAAGTGTGAGCACAAACTTTTTACTGAACCATCATAGACATTAATTAAATACATAGCGATTCATGCAGTTTCCTTAGCAAATTTTACAATCAGGAATAAACATTTAGTTCAAATGCAAATTCAGATATACATCCTTTACTATACAAATGCACAATATACATTAAACTTAACTTAAATGTATCCTACACTATCATTAAGGTTCAGGTATAAATAAAAGTGTTTGTAAAAATTTAGCTAGCTCAGTTTATTTTATTGGTTTACCATCCTGAAAACTGCTGGTGCAAATGACATTTTGTGCTTTGAGTGCTAAAGCTATTGAAAATTGTTGTTTGTTAAAACAAATCAATGTTAAATGGAAACAACAAAACAATATTAAGCATAAAAATCTCGTGGGAAAGGGATGATTTGTTTACTTTATTGAGAAGCTTGCATTTTGCTGTGCTGTAAAAAGAGCGTACCAAGGTATCATTTAAATTATCGGTATGTCAATGTCAATGTCAATGTCAGATTACTTAAGGTTAATGTTGCATAAAAATCTCTTTTAGTGTTGGGACTAATACCCAAGTTAATAATTGTTTACACAAAAAATATCATTTTCTACATTCAAATAAATATTGTAAACATTATTCTGAGTATTATTTGATTTGTAATGTTTTATTCTGTCAAGTGTAGAAAAAACTATTGACTTTAAGATATGGAAGTAAACATCAATATTCCAATTAAAAAAAAACACCTTAATTATTATCTTACCTGTAGCAGCAAACCTAAGTACTCTCATTTAAAGATGAAATAAATCTGACAATTTGAAGGGAATAATTTAGTGGAATTCCATCCGGAAATTCGCTTTGTCTGCAGGTTTGCTGCGACGGGGTTATTTTTTACTAGAATCCAATTATCTCTGCACTCTTACATATTTCAAACCATTACGGACTTACAGGCGAAATGAACGAATCAACATTTCCATGGGAATGAACTGGATTCAATTTCTTCTTGTTTATTTTATGTGGACTGAGAGAAGCTGAAACAAGGTATAACAATAGATAATTTTTCTTTAGCAATTCGAGAGTGATAATTTTCCTACAATAGGTTGTAAACCAAAACTACACCTTCAGCAAATGACAGGAACAAGAACTGTGAAACATAAAATTACTCATTTTTTACAAATATGAACTTTGACAGAGTAACCATTGCTCTCATAATGGTAGTTTATTTTTAAAACGAGTAAAGTTAGGAGAGACTACAGGTTTGAAAAATACAGGAATGAGAGCCATGATTTCTCTGTCAGTGTGAGTACCTCAATACAATCACGTGTTTTATAATTGTTTTCTACATAATAAAGAAAGATAGCTAGGTTAAAATAAAAAAAAAATAACACACAGATCATGACCTCAAGATTGATACAACAGCTTGTTGATATTCCTGCATAAAAACTACAGCAGATGTTGTACAATTGACTTAAAATGATGAATGAAGATCAAGTCAACTTTTTTCCCTATTGTACTATACCTTTGCAAGCATTTCCTTTTTCTCTTATTTTAAGGTAGATTTTACTATTTTGTAGTTTACTCTTTGTTCATAATACCGGAGGACAAACAATAGTTAACAAATATACCTTATCATACTGTAAAGTTAACACCATTTTCATGTTGGTCAAATGGCAACAAACACAAAGTAAACAACAAAAGACCCTTTTTATAAGACAAACAGAAATAGTATAATTGGTACTGTCTTTATCTGTTATATGACAAAATGTTTAAGGAAGAAGTGGATACACATCCAAACTGTCCAACTACAAAGTTCCAAGCACTTGATATCACCTAAAAAGTTCACAAGAAAAATACTCAAAAATTTCTCTCTACAACTCCAAAAGTACCCCTCTGATTAATTTGTACCCCTGAGGCAAATGGCTTCATCTGAAGGAAGCAGTAGAATGGAACCATCCCCTTGAACTTATTTATTGGGTTATTTAGTTATGTATCCATTCTTTCCTTCTGGGTGTGTTCCTAAGCCAAGTGATCTTTCCAACAAAAACAAATCCATAAGAGATAATTTTTTTTTACCTCCAGGTAGGTTGGGCAGGGAGAAGTCATCGAGAGGTCCTCGAGGTCTCCACGCGGGACGAGGCTCCATGTCCATGGTGAGTCTCTGTTCCAGCTTGCGGACGACAGGAGCCCGAGGTACGACTCCCATCCCTGGCTTGGGAGGTCCGATAGACTTCTTGCTATTGTTGTCATTCCTGGGAAAACACATGATTTTGTTAGCTAGGTGTTACTAGTTATATACAGTGGTGTAATAATTTTCTCTGTTTATCTGAAAAAAAAACAAAAACAGGAGAACGTATTTGTAACAAAGGAACTGTATTTGTGGTGAAGTGCTTGCTTTTTCTTTTGGATATACCGTACTTGTACCTTATGCGATACATAAATATTCTGCAAATAGATATTGAAATCAACATCTATGTTTGAAATCAAACAACATTCACAAATTTGATTTTTTCTTATGTCAGCCGCTGTGAAATTTTCTAATTTTGTCGCACAAACCTTTAAGGGTTCATACCTCTTAAATGTTTAGGAATATGTAAGAGATCAAATCTACACCACTTGAACCAAAGTTTCAGACGATAATCACTCTAGGCTTGCAACTTGCAACGAACACCTATAATCATTTTGGACACCATAGCTTCTTACATTGTAGTATTGCAAGTTACTTTGGAACATTACTACATCTAAAAGCTGTTTAGTTCAAGAACACTCGTACAGACAATAGTTTAATTTTAAAACAAACAAGAGGGAATATCAGTTGTCTCATGATTTTACCCTTCCATATTTAATTTGACAATGACAAGTTCAATAATATCCACAAAAATGTTATGGCTTTGGAACGCTTTTCCTTTGGAGCGTTTGTGGTTCTTCTTAGAAAAGTCCACCAGCGCAGACAGTTCAAATGCCATAAGGATTATGGATTAAGGATAAGGATAAGGACAAGGATTAAGGATTACGGATAATGTGCATAAGGATTGCCTAGATAAACCCTGATTTACTTTATGTATGTTCTGTGTTATATTAAAACACAATTCAGATGACGACATAAGGGATTTAATGGGTTTCTAACACACCTGGGTAGATACATTCATAATACCTTTCCCTACATAAAAAGGAGAATAGTTACATCGAACCCCACCTGTAGCTGAGGCTAATGTTGCTGACAGTGACGGCCGGATGCAGCGAGTGTTGCGGGGTTGGCAACTGTGGCTCGGTATGGAGCGACAGAGTGGTGGGGGTGAGAGAGTGATGTTGTGGGTTATTGTCATGGAGAGGCTTCAGAGATCCCAACAATGGAGAGTACTTGTTGAGGAATTTGACGTTGTTGTTGTTCTCACCGACGTCATCATCTCCACCGATTTCCATAGGAGACCCACAGTCCAGGGTGAGCCGCTTACCCATGGAAATGCCGTCTAGATCTCTCTGTGGAAACAGTGGTTAAGGTATTGTTATTGTATTCAGGCTACAGCACAGGTATAGTAAAACCCCTTTTAGCACCCTGATAAACCAAAACCCTGGTTAACTGAAACCATTATAAAATTTTCTAAAAAAATTCTAAAAAACCAGCTAATCTGAGTCAGTAACAAAGCTGTGCATGTCATATCGTTAATTGAAAACGCTCCCTATAGTCATCTTCTTGATATACACACCCTGATGTGTCGGTTGTAGGAATCTGATCTAATGAAACATCCAATGCAACTTACCAGTGTCTGCTGTCTCTCCACCATGGATGTGTTTCCTCCGTAGTTCATCTTCCATCTAGGAGGCTCCACCTGGCTAGAGCGTCTGGGAGGACCGAGTTCTGCGGAACCTGACAACATATTACGGGTTAGTTCAAAATTGTATGTGTAATTATTAATTTGTGTTATAGAAGTAACATAAAAAATTGTTACTGTATGAAACTTAATCACATGCAACGTTACTCCAAGCAAGCCCCTCTTCAACCCTATGAGCAACAGTCTTTGTTGCTTACCCATTTAAAAAAACAGTACCTGGGGACCGAGCTTTGCTCGGGGAAAATCATTAGTTCACTCTGAAAGCACCTTAGTATTGGAGATACATAAATCCATTCCCAAACTCCACACGGCTCGCCATTAGGCTACCACCATTTCCTACGTCATGGACCTGTTTCCGTCCATTCCCATTGCATTTAAAGATTGCAGATACCTTAATCTAATCGTCATAAACAGTTCCCACACTCCGGACTACTCGCCTTGACTACTTCCTTCACCACTTCCTACGTCATAGACCTGTTTCCCTCTCTTTCCATAGCATTTTAGGATTGCAAATACCTTAATCTAATCATCATAATCAGTTCCCACACTCCGGACTACTCGCCTTGACTACTTCCTTCACCACTTCCTACGTCGTGGACCTGTTTTCCTCCCTTCCCATAGCATTTTAGGATTGCAGATACCCTAATATTATCGTCGTAAACAGTCCCCACACTCCGGACTGCTCGCCTTTACTACTTCCTTCATCACTTCCTACGTCACGGACCTGTTTCCCTCTATTCCCATAGCATTTTATGATTGCCTTTATTACTTCCTTTACCACTTCCTATGTCGCGGACATGTTTCCTTCCCTTCCCATAGCATTTTAGGATTGCAAATACCTTAATCTAATCGTCATAAACAGTTCCCACACTCCGGATAGCTCACCTAGACTACTTCCTTCACCACTTCCTACGTCGCGGACATGTTTTCCTCCCTTCCCATAGCATTTTAGGATTGCCCATACCCTTATTTAATCGTCATAAACAGTTCCCACACTCCGGACAGCTCGCCTTGACTACGTCCTTCACCACTTCCTACGTAGCGAACCTGTTTCCCTCCCTTCCCATAGCATTTTAGGATTGCCCATACCCTTATCTAATCGTCATAAACAGTTCCCACACTCCGGACAGCTCGCCTGGACTACTTCCTTCACCACTTCCTATGTCACGGACCTGTTTTCCTTTCTTTCCATATCATTTTAAGATTGCAGACACCTTAATCTAATCGTCATAAACAGTTCCCACACTCCGGACTACTCGCCTTGACTACTTCCTTCACCACTTCCTACGTCGCGGACCTGTTTTCCTTCCTTCCCATAGCATTTTAGGATTGCAGATACCCTAATCTTATCGTCATAAACATTCCCCACACTCCGGACTGCTCGCCTTCACTACTTCCTTCATCACTTCCTACGTCACGGACCGGTTTCCCTCTATTCCCATAGCATTTTATGATTGCCTTTATTACTTCCTTTACCACTTCCTATGTCGCGGACATGTTTCCTTCCCTTCCCATAGCATTTTAGGATTGCAAATACCTTAACCCTTACCGCGCTGTAGACGAATATACTCGCCGAAATTGTCTTTGCTCAAAACGCTATGGACGACTATACTCGCCTTATAATACAGAGTGCATTGGCTGGTCTTGGTAGTACCCAGTTTTGCCGATAGAGTGCAGCAGTTGTTGGGACACATCTCACGTGATGTAAAATCACAATAACAATGGTCCCCGCCCTCCGATTGTTCTCAGGAATGAAAAAATGGCGGCGCGCTACACCAGCCGGCCTCTGCTGTGAGAGACGCTAGCGCTGTGGACGAACTAACTCGCAAGTGTTTAGTTCACTCGCAGACTTGGCGCGAAACACCGTTCTCCGCGTGCGTTCGTTATTACATTGGTTTTATTGGCGGTATAATATTATAATTATATATTTTATACAATATATACATTTTATACAGTAATTATACCATATTTTTTGTGAGTTGTGCGTTTTATATAATTAGTAAAAGTGGATTGTAGTGTGTAAGTTGTATCTTTGTGTGATTGGAGTAATTATTTGTGTGAAATGGAACATCCCGATGACCCAGATTTTGAGGACTTTGTAGTCAACGTTCTGAATACTTCGTTCAGTAGTAATTACAATGATCACCTTTTTGACAGTGACATGGACCAGGACGACATTTTGATCAATAATATTGCCGATGCGAGTGAAAGTGAAAATGAGACTGATATGTGCCTTGATTCCATGGACGTTTTACCACTCCCAGCCCATGAAGATCCCCAGCCAAGTACATCAGCTTCACTGACACAACCATCTCCATTTCAAACACGACCAGATCCTCTCGACGTGTTACGCTTTGACCCGGTCGCCATACCACCACAACCAGACTCAGTCGCCGCGCCTCTGTCGCCACCTGTCACGTCTACAGCGCCGCTCCCAACACCTGTCACCCACCCCGCGCAACCCCCCTCGCCTGTCACCCACCCCGCGCAACCCCCCTCGCCTGTCACTCCCCCGCGTCCTACAACTACCGCTCAGCCACTACGTAATCAAGGTAGACCTACCCGACGACGTGGTCGTGGACGGGGTGGACGGGGATCAAATCGCATTCAGCCAGCGCAAGCCCTAAACCCAGCAGGCCCCCAGCCTATTCATTGGGCTAATGTTTCAGTCAATGACCCAGGACCTAGTGAGACGCTTCCAATTTACAATGTAAATAAAGGTCCTGTTCTACCTTCAACATTCGATTCCTACTCTGAGCCCATTGACTATTTCTCTCTTTTTTTCAATGATATGATTATTGATCTTATTTGCTCTGAAACAAATTTGTTCGCCAATAACAAACTAGCCAGTGGTCCTTCTCCTAAGGCTCGTATCACTAAATGGCAGGATATCACACCAATCGATTTCAAGGCATTTTTAGGTGTGATCATCAACATGGGACTGATGCCTCTTCCAAATATTACCAACTACTTTTCAACAACTAGGGAATCAAACATTCCATTTTTCAGTGACATTTTCTCAAAAAACGAGTTTGAAAGAATTTTTTGGAATTTACATTTTACTCACCGGAACAATGACGAACCTGTTCCCAGAGGTTTCCTCATCGCTCCCATTTTGGAACATATGAAGAAAATGTGTAGACTCTTTTTTACTCCTGGTGACAAAATTGCAATTGATGAAAGTACCATCTCCTTCAAAGGAAAGGTTTACTTTCGTGTGTACAACCCGAATAAACCAGTGAAATTTGGTATGAAGTTGTTTGTTGTATCTGACAGTACGAACGGTTATATTTACGACTTCATTCCGTATTTTGGTAGTGAGGATCTGATTCCTGGAACCAACTTACTAAAGACAACGCAAATTGTCAAAGTGTTGAGCGAGTCGGTGGTGTTCAAAGATCCGCATTGCCCAGCTAAGGGAGTACACGTTTACACTGACAGGTATTACACAAGCCCCGAGCTTGCTGATGAACTTCTGAAAATTGGGTGCTACCTAACCGGTACAGTGATGCCGAACAGAACTGGTTTGCCCCCTGGTATGAAAGCTAAGGGGAAAAAAAATGAAAAAAGGGGACATTCGTGCGTACCGTAAGAAATCCACGGTTGTTGTTTCCTGGAAGGATAAAAGACCGGTACACATGCTTAGTACTAAACACAAGGGAAGCAGCAGCCACATGTCCTATGTGAATAGTAGATGGCCAAACAGACCCCCGGTTTTGAAACCTGATGTTGTCATCGACTACATCAAGCACATGGGCGGGGTTGATAGAAGTGACCACTTCGTATCGTCCTACCAGTTCATGCGGAGGACAAAAAAGTGGTATCGAAAGATGTTTTTTTGGTTTTTGGAAGTGGCAATAATCAACTCGTATTTACTGTACAAAGATGTACAATCGGCCGCTGGAAACAGAAAAGCCATGAGCCACTTCATGTTTAGGAAAAGTTTGGTCCGCAGCTTGGTGCAAGAGAGAAGCACAACAAGACCAAAAGCCAGCAGAAAGAGGGGACGACCAGTACAAGTAAGTAAACTTTTTTATTATTTTCTAACAAATATTATTCGACTCATTTCCTATTTATTTGATAAGGCTTGCAATTACAATACATCAATACACCGTAAAAACTGTAATCCCTTTATATGCATATTTTTTCTTTGTCGTAAAAACTGATTTTTGGCACAAATGTAATTTCCTGAATTATTTTGTTATCTTTACACAACTTGAGTCGGTTTGTTTTGTGATAAAAATAATAAAATGATAATTGGTTTTATTCATAATGTAAATGTGTGAGTAGTTGGTACATTTGCATAGGAACACTTTGTGTTGAGTTGAAGAAATATATATTCGTACATACATACATACGCGCGCGCGCACACACACACACACATGTACACACGCATACCTATACACACATACATATATATATATACATATATTTATTTATTTATTTATTTATATGTAGGACAGATAGCCTTACACATCTGCTTACTCAACAGCTACAACTACATATATGGTAGGGCTCAGTGATCACTAATATATATATATAATATATATATATATATATATATATATATATATATATATAGACATATAAATTTTTTAGGGACCTCCTGATGAAAGATTGGATGGAAGACAGCATTTCATCGCGAGGAGAGAAAAAGGGACTGGCAGATGCGTTGTTTGCACACAGAACGGCCTGCGGAAGGAGACGATTTACGTCTGCGAGACATGCACCGCTCGGCCAAACTTGCACCCTGATGCATGTTTCAAAACATACCATACCATCCCTTAAGAACATAGCTAATTTTGAAAGCTTCTTTTTTCTACAGTAAATTTAACAAAAAAAAACAAAACTGTCAATCTTTTATTTGCTTTCCATTTTTTTGCTTTCCTTTTTGTATCTGTATACTAATTACGTAATTACGTATAATTAAACTAATTTTAAAAGAAAATGACTTTTTTTTCTCCCATAAATCCTTTTTTATTATAAGAAACCAAAAAAAAAAAATTAGCTTTGACTTTTGGGAAAAAATATTTTTTTGGTATATGTAGCCTTATGGTCTAGGCCATCCAACATTTCTGTAGCGCGGTAAGGGTTAATCTAATCGTCATAAACAGTCCCCACACTCCGGATAGCTCACCTAGACTACTTCCTTCACCACTTCCTACGTCGCGGACATGTTTTCCTCCCTTCCCATAGCATTTTAGGATTGCCCATACCCTTATTTAATCGTCATAAACAGTTCCCACACTCCGGACAGCTCGCCTTGACTACTTCCTTCACCACTTCCTACGTAGCGAACCTGTTTCCCTCCCTTCCCATAGCATTTTAGGATTGCCCATACCCTTATCTAATCGTCATAAACAGTTCCCACACTCCGGACAGCTCGCCTGGACTACTTCCTTCACCACTTCCTATGTCGCGGACCTGTTTTCCTTCCTTTCCATATCATTTTAAGATTGCAGACACCTTAATCTAATCGTCATAAACAGTTCCCACACTCCGGACTACTCGCCTTGACTACTTCCTTCACCACTTCCTACGTCGCGGACCTGTTTTCCTTCCTTCCCATAGCATTTTAGGATTGCAGATACCCTAATCTTATCGTCATAAACATTCCCCACACTCCGGACTGCTCGCCTTCACTACTTCCTTCATTACTTCCTTCATCACTTCCTACGTCACGGACCTGTTTCCCTCTATTCCTATAGCATTTTATGATTGCCTTTATTACTTCCTTCACCACTTCCTATGTCGCGGACCTGTTTCCTTCCCTTCCCATGTTATTTTAGGATTGCAGATACCTTAATTTAATCTAATCGTCATAAACAGATCCCAGGTTTCGCACTGCTGCCCTTGACTACAATGTATCGAATCGAGTAATCTAAAGTATAATCTTTGCTAAATATTAACAAGTGATGTTTTTCCTTTTGTACTGTATTTGTAATTTGCTAGTATACTGTGGGTAGTTGGCTTATTATGAACACATGCTACAACCATAGATAAAACATACTCCCTTAGTAGATTTCTCATCCTTATGGAACAGCTGAAGACAATTTTATTGTTAGTACATGTACGGTTTATGTAGAGGTCGTGTTTTGTTTACAATTTGTTTCCCGTTATTACAGCCATTTAAAACCTCGTTTAACCAAATAATACGATCTAATCATAAACAATAACTCGTCCCCTAGTTATATAACCAAACAGTAAAGCACAAATCAAGAAATTAACCCTAAAATAATGGAAACAAAGTTTCATCGACACTACCGCCTTTGTGTCACGTACATGAACTAGACACGAAAAACGTGCTTCAAAATTTACAATGGGATGAGAAGTCTACTTGTGTTGGTTAGTCTATGCTACAACTTCAAGTCTTTTGTTTACTTTATCCTTGTTATTTAATTCATCCAACATGGTTACCTAGCAACCCATAAGACTAATGTTATAAAAAAATGTGATTTTCAGTTTCATTTTTCTACGTAATTAGATTTTTGTTGGCAGTTCTAACTGCAGTAAACTCGTTTTTAGGCCAGAAATAAACTATTTACAACATTTGAAGAAAATTGTCGGAGCCGTTTTCGAGATCTTTTTTGCAAGCAAGCAAGCATACATACGTACAAGCAAACATTGCTCGTATTAGAGTATAGGATACAAGACTGACATATTTGACGCTAGAGACAGCTGTGTCTGGGCTTTCGTTTGTTCAGTGTTGTTAGTGAGTTAAACCATTAGGTGTTATGAGTGATCAATGTAGATCAAGTGACTTATATAGGTTAGGTCTGATATCCATCTCACGAAGAGCTCCCTTGGTGTCATGGTTGGCTAGGTCAGAAGTTGGCATGTGGGTGGATTCTATGTAGCCTATGTTGCCCATAAAATCAGGCATTTTGCTTATCCTTGTGTATCCACTTATCAGTATCCATCCACCAACACAAGTTTTTAAATAATTTGGTTTTTTTATTATTAATCCACAATGTTTTGGCATGAGAGGGAACCCCTTTACACCAAAATGTATTTACCTTTAGCTATCTAGAAAATCAGCTAACAAAATTATTCACAACTGTTAAATAATTTTTTATGCATCACCTTTCTTTTCCAGGCTTGTGTCCACAAGTTGCAGGTAAATTTTACTCAGCAGAGGGTTCCCTTGAAACTCCTGTTCCACTTTTTTTCGCAGTTCAGGAGCAAAGAACTCTGCGAACCTATCGTGAGTGAAGTACGAGTGCTGCAGTAGCTGAGAGCTGGTCGGACGCTGGGATGGGTCCAACCTGGTAGAATAAACTAACCTATAGTTTAATTTCAGTATTACCAGTATATTACCAATTGAGATAGTGGCACAACTAGGTATTTTTTACCCACAGAACGTAACATTGTGTGTTGATGAAATAATAAATTAATTATATAATAAACAATATCTACATAGAGATGGTAAAAAAAAATTGAATTATCTTTCTAAAAATTCTTTTTAAATATTTTTTTCTGTATCCTATCTAAATTTCATTCGCTACGAGCAAGAAATGTGAAATAGGATCAACACTTCATTCATAATAATATTTGAACCCAAGAAAGTAATGTGAATTGCATTGTGGATTTCAAAAGCTTGGTAAATTACACTTACCTAAGGCACAATGCAACAATTTCCAAAGTCAAACTAGGCCACGAAGGGAAGAGTTTATAAAGGCACCTGGAAGGGTTCAACTCATCTGCGTATTCTATGTTGGATTTTCTCATTTCCTTCAACAGAGGATTCTTCGCAATCAGCTGTTGATGTCTTGTGCATAGTTTACCTGAAAGACATACATTACATCAAGAAAGGATACATAAAACTTGTAAAGTACCTAAGTCCTTGTTAATCCAGATCACATCAGTACGGACTTTGTTTATTATGGCCAGCCATTAAATAACAGTTAGAAACTATTTTGTACAGCTAATTTGAAATTTGTCACCTATAATTTACCCTCTTTTTAGCGAATTACCCTATAGGGAAGTAGCTATTACCGTAGGTCTCATGGTAAGACTTGGGCCCGGGACCGATTTACTTTTTCATTTTAATGTCCCCAGGGGCCAAAAACACCATTCGTTCAAATTTTTATATATGTATATATATATATATATATAGATTTATATATATATATATATGTGTCCGTGAACACGATAACTTGAGTAATTTTTATCCGATTTTGATTAAATTTGGTTTGAAGGTGTAAGGCGGGATAAACTTGAATGAGTTCGCGATCCAGCATGATCGGACCATGGGAACAGGGTTTTATGGGGGGTTTTATGGGGTAAAAATTGGTTTTTCTCTCTTCTTACCCTCAAAACACAAAATTTCCCAATTTTTCTCTAAACCTTCTTAAAGAGCTTAAAAAAACAAACAATTCAGTATATCAAAGTGTTTTTGTACGGTTATTGGTTACGGAGAAAACTAAAAAAATGGTAAATTTAAAATTCCCATGTTATTCTTATGGAGAATATTGTAAAATGTTGTAGTTTGCTTGTTTATGGATATATTTTGATCAAACTTGGCAAATTTATTTATTTTATAGTAAGCTATCAATATTTTACTAAAAACACACTACTTTATTAGTTTCCTTGTAGCAGCAAACCTAGGTGCTCGTTAAACCTAATGTTACTTAAATAGATCAATTGAAAATCAATTCGGCCAAATGGAAATTCGCTTAGACGGCAGGTTTGCTGCGGCGGAAGTATTTTTAAAACTTGACAATGCTTCAATATTTTTTATTGTTTGAAAGGGACTGAAGGAAAATACCATTGAGTTTTGTTGGCCACTATAATTGAACACCTTCTTATAGATAGCATGATTACTTGTTGTGTAATATCAACATGTGATAATGAAGAATTAACCTACTTATTAAAATTGTAATGATTTTATGATGATGAAAAATTTACATTACTAACCGAGCAATTTCATTATCTGGTAGAGTTGGTCAATGTCGCTCTCCCCTGGAAACAAAGGGTCACCACTCATCAGCTCGGCAAACAGACAGCCGATGGCCCAGATGTCTACAGGTCTACCGTACCTCGTGTCTCCAACGAGCAGCTCAGGGGCTCGGTACCATCTGTGGAGTAAATTACATAAAATTTTCAATATTCTTTCACCTACCTACTCAACTTAGAGGTCTAACTGAGGTTTTTGGTTTTGCCAACAAGCTGGCTTTACCTAACCGTGCATTGCAATATTCACTCTTCCACTACCATCTTCTTCTATCTCATATCATTCTACCTTCTCCACCTGGTCTCGCTAGCAGAGTTTCCGTCGTCCCAAAGGTCCACTTTTTACTGACGTTATTCTTTTCAACACTAAGTCTTCCTCTCTCCCATGAGATTTTTTTCAATAAGGGGTAAACCGGTATCTTGTTCCAGGGGTAAGAATAAAAGACAATCCTTCACAAACATTTGCAATGTATGACAGTAAAAAAAAGAATTCTTAAAAAAGTTTACAATATCCTTATTTGTCCAGGCAATCTTCAAAAACCTTTCAGAGCTTGGCACATTTTAAATTTGATTTTATATAAGGAAGGATCCCAAGCCTCCAGTCTCTCCAGGTTACATGGTCAGAATGTGATGTAACAAAATGAAATATTTTTGGGGAACATTCCTTCCCAGCAAACACATTTTTTACCATCACTTCATAACTAATAGACAAAACCTATCTTATTTAGATTTGAAGGTGTACAAAATTTAAGTTAAAAAAAAGCTCTTGCTAAGTTTATTCAGAATCTTGTAATTGAGCTTATATTAAATAATATATTACTGGAACAGAACTAATATACCTTGTAGCAACGTAGTCTGTATAAGTTTCTCCTCCTGACGATACAAGGCGAGCGAAACCAAAGTCACAAAGTTTGATCACACCTTGGTTAGACACTAGGATGTTTTCTGGCTTCACATCTCTATGTACAATCTAGTAAATTAGAGAAACAATATTAACATCTGTATCATAAATTATTAGATTGATTGATAAGGTCAAATCCAGTTAACTTTTAATGAATATTCTTAATTGCTTAAGCACTAACCCTTCACAAACAAATATTTGTTTAATTGTTGTATTTATAAATTAAACAAGTTAAGTATGGATCTTTATACAATTAATGGGGTATTAAATTTTTGGATGAAGAAAAGTTTGAAGGTGGAGTCCCTAACTTGAACAAGAAACTATGACTTTATGACACTAAGGAACTGTGAAATCTACCCGCTAATATTAAACAACTATTAGTACTATGAATTATGAGCATACATGACTATTGTTGGGACTTTTACAGTTAGATGGAAAGCAGAAGCACAGAGGATGGTCATTACAAGTAGGGTATTCCAAGAAGTCTAACTAGTAGGGTTCTACTTAAGACTTTTTCTACTAATTACATTGTTCTTATGGCAGAAGTCGATGCCTCGGATGACCTGGAACATATGTTGCCGAGTGACTCTGTCTCCCAGACCTTTAGGGTTCTCCTCCAGTTCGTCCAGCACTGTGTGGTCCATGAACTCGAACACCAGGTAGAACCGTCGCTTGCGGCGGAACACCTCGATCATGTTCACCAGGTTATCGTGATGCAGCTTCTAAAAACAACAATATACAGTAGAACCTTGGTAGAACTCGAAACGGTTCAATAAAATAATAATGGGCTAAAATATAAGTCCGTTTCTATAATACGTAATGTAAAATGCTTTGGTACCTTCAGTTGTTTAGTTTAAAGTATTTTCTAACCCATTGTAACATTTTTGTAACCGAAATAAAACACTGTATTATATAGACTTTTTTTAGCATATGACGGGTTAACTGAAAAATTGGTTATCCGAAATGGCTCTCCCCCCTTTTTTTGTGGTTAACAGGGGCTCTACTGTAAAATTCTTCCTCGGTTTTTAATCATTCTGCGAGTATTGTCAGTGACATATGCAGTAGTATTTTGTGTACAAAAAACATATTTTAACTTAGTTCCTTCAAGATGGGAAGTTTACTTTGGTATCCCAAATTCAAAGATAAAAGGTTACAATACCTGAAGCTATATTTTCAAAAGTTACCTTGAGCATGCGTATCTCCCTCAGCGCCATCTTCCTCACATTGTGGTCGTCCTCTGTCTCTATGAACTTCTTGATGGCCACGATGGTTCCACTCTCTTTGTGCCGACATTTCATCACGATGCCATAAGATCCTTCCCCGACCACGCCGATGCTTTCATACTTTTCCATCTCCTGCGAGCCTCGTCATATTGTCCCTCACTCTCTGACTTCAATGTGACCTGCAAAATACCAGAAACGAATGAGCAAAAATATCTAATGCAATGTTTGAATATAAAATGTTAAATTTTCATATTGTGTTCTTCATCCTAAATTCCGTTGTCAAAGCTGAAAAAAGGTTAAAATTGCTGGTACTGCCTTGTGATTCCTTATTTGCTCCTCAAATAGACAACGTATTTTGATGCTGAGGTAGCTTGAAGAAACTAAAACATTGTAGAGATCTGTGTTACCTGCAATTTCAAAGATACTGGAAAAGATAGTAACCGAACAAATCACTTTATTTCTAGATGAGTATAATATACTGCCTAAGCTACAGTCAGGGTTTAGAAAAAACCACAGCACGTGTACTGCACTGACTAATATGTTTGCTGATCTATTTGATGCCAAAGACAAAGGACTCTACAGCACATTAGCTATTTTAGATTACTTTCAAGCATTCGACTCTATTGATCATGAATTATTATTGGCAAAAATGAAGTACTATGGTTGCAGCGAAAAAGTTGTATGTTGGTTTCGGTCCTATTTGGAGTCCCGACTGCAGGTTACCAAAATTGGGAGTGGGACATCAGATCCGCTTTGCAAATTGCGAGGTGTTCCTCAAGGTAGTTGTTTAGGCCCTGTGCTGTTCAATTTATACACGTCTGACTTGCCCAGAAGTGTAAAATATTGTACAGCACACTTGTATGCTGATGACTGTCAATTACACTTGTCATACAAGCCAGACATGACATCCGCAGCAATTGAACTCATCAATGCTGATTTGCACAGCATTTTTCAATGGTCTGTCATGAATGGCCTTGGATTGAACTTGACAAGTGTGTTGTCATGCATACTGGACCACATATTCTAATGCAGGAGTTGAGAAAATCTGACATTAAAGTCACCCTTGATGGCATGGGATTGTCTGTCTGTGACACTGTCAACACGCTTGGTGTTGTACTTGACAAAGACCTCTCTTTTTCTGACCACGTCACATCTGCAGTCCAACGCGCAGTGGGAAGATTGAGAGGTCTTAGCAGATTCAAAACTCTCCTGCCAGAATTTGCCAAAACGCAACTCATGCGGTCCTTGGTCCTTCCAGCCTTCACATATTGCTTTCCTGCATATGGAAACAGCATCTCTAAGGAGGATATGGCAAGAGTTCAGAGAATTCAAAATTCTGCCATAAGGTTCATTTTTGGCCTTAGTCGCTTTGAACACGTGTCCTCCTACAGAGATGCTGCTAAGCTCATCCCAATGGATGACATGTGCAGAAAGCTGACCTGCTGCATGGTCCACAAAGTGCTCACGCTGGGAGAGCCTCATTACCTCAGCGAGAGGCTGAAGTACAGGAGGGAGATCTGTCTGCGTAGTACTCACTCCGACCGCAAGCTTCACTTTCCTAAAGTGAGGCTTGAGGCTGGAAGAAAGTCTTTTTCTTATTTCGGCCCGCGGTTGTACAATGGCCTCCCTCAAGAGATCAAGTGTTCAAAATCGTACAACACATTCAGGGCCGCAATGAAAAAACAAATGTAAAATGTATATTGTAATTATTCTGTTGTAATTTGTTTGTATATACTTATGTAAATATATTAGGATAGTTTAGATTTAGTGACTTGAGTTAGTTTGAAAACCATGTATTATGAAACTCGCTCGTAAATAAAGGCCTTTTTATTTATTTATTTATTTATGGCCACATTGAAAGACACACAAAACATAGAAAAATGCACCAAAAAATTTTATTGAAAAAAAGAATGAAACCCTGTTGGCTTACATTAACTAGCATGTACATAACAGGTGTCGAGTCTTGGCGTAACCTTCTCAACAATGGTTTAGTTTCTTCAAATTTTGTGTGACGTGATGATGGATGTGTCTACAGCATCGAAATGTGTAGGCCATTGAGGAGAAAATAAATCACAAAGCTGTACCAGGTAATGTATTTTAAACTTTTTATACAGTTTTTGTCAAATTTTGTTTGAAGTCTAATAAGTTGTAATATTTGTTACTTAGGCTATTTTAATACCAGTTTGGTCATTGAATCACCAGGACAGTTGTAATTTTAGGTCTTCTCAGGAAATGATTTTGGGTTCTGGAAACTACTAAACAAATCTTGATTGGTTCCATTTTAAGTGTTTTTACGAACAGTAAAATAATACAAGAAGAGGTTTTAGGTATTAAAGTTTGAAAATGATAAATTTAATTTTACTATACCTATTTTATTACACTGAAATCCTGTTATAGTCATATCCCTTTAATTTCTTTGGCATCTGTCCTACATTAGTTAACACGATATTATGTTTGATATTTTGTTTGGTGTTACAAAACATTATCAAAATTGTATTTTTCCCCACCGGGATTTTCCTACATGGTGCCCCTTCAATCAACAGCCCACAGTTGGGATAGGCAATCTGGGTACAGCATGTAGATTGCGTGTTTGGAATTGAAGGGGCAACAATGTATGAACTACCGGTACTTAAATATTTCTATGGGGGTTTTGACAGACGCTGAAACTTGTAGTAGACTATGAATTATATATTTCTTATTTAATATTGTATGTTTACTGCACAATATAGTTTAACAAAAATTTTACTGTGCCCAAAATGTCACACTTGGTTGTAGTGATGTGTCAAAACTAAATCTCAAATCTCAAAACCATCAAAACTTAGGAAAAGTTTCGGTGTTGAGATTCGATCACCAAGTTTCGAGATTCAGAAGTTTCGAACTTGAAGATTTTGGCAGTTTTATTTTTGAAACTGTTGACATTTTTTGTGCCATTGTTATTGTTTTTAACACTGTTTCCAAACAAGCTGGTAGCAACAGAGCAAACATCACCATTAACAGTAATGAAACAAGTAAATTTTATTCTGAACTTCAAAAGGTATATCATAAATACTATAGGGCCTAACTGGTACAATTCAGTTTCACATCAATATTTACTAAACACAAAGAAATATTGACCACTAAATGTTCTAATTAATCTAATACCTATTCATGTTTATGTTGGTGTTAGAAGTTTAATTTATTTTTTATGTTGGTTGTTTATAAAAAATTGTTGTATTGGGTTTTTAAGATCAGTCACATTCACATACTGTATTTATGTTATGTCACGGTCAGGAGGAGTCGATTTCTTTCAGTTTTTATTGCATACTTCATTCTATGATTATGTCTATTTTATGTAACCTCGACCTTTGTAACCAGCTGAGTAAAAAAGTTTCGCGTTTAGGTTTTGAGATTCAAGATTCGGGATTCGATTTTTTAAAGTTTCGGTTTCGGTTTTGAGATGCAAAATTTCTGGTTCTGACCATCACTACTTGGTTGTATTTGAGCTATTTAGTTGTAGAAAATACATCTTCATACTAAGAATGGCTTCTGGAATGGATGCATGGAAGGCTGCAGTAAGTTATTTAGTTTGAAACCATGCATTAATTGAGCTATCCTAACAACCACCTTTTAAAGATACTCTCAGTAGGCTACATAATAGTTTTTACCTAACCCGTCATGTTAAACTTCCCTATCCCAAGCGTGATGTATACAACTTCCTTACTTCTCGAGTGATGTAAAGTATCAAAAACTCACTCGGTGATGTAAAGAAACTCATTTAAATAACATTGAGTGATTAACTTATAGCTATTTACCTTACAAGTGTAGTAAGAGCGTTTTTACATCACGCAGGTGAATGTTGTGCAACGAGCGGAAGCGAGTTGCATAATTTACCGAAGTGATGTAAACACGCTCTTGCGTAACGTGTAACGTACAAGATTTTACCTGACCCGACAATATACAGGAGGTTACGAACAATATTTTTCATTATCCATTTCACTCATCTTCTAACAGTAACGTTCATTTACAAACAAAAGCTAGGTTAAGAAAATTCTTCAAAACATAACAATAAAATTCAAGCGCACAGCTGATTTCTAGCGTTGAACGTTGTTGGCTCCATAGAGGTATATTTTTTAAGTTAAGCACTCAATGTTATTTAAATGGGTTTCATTACATCACCGAGTGAGTTTTTTTCAACTTTACATCACTCGAGAAGTAACGAAGTTATATACATCACGCTTGGGATAGGAAAGTTTAACATGGCGGGTTAGGTAAAAAAATATACCTCTATGGAGCCAACGACGTTCAACGCTAGAAATCAGCTGTGCGCTTGACTGTTATTGTTATGCTTTAAAGTATTTTCCTAACCTAGCCTTTGTTTGTAAAAGAACGTTAATGTTAGAAGATGAGTGAAATGGATAATGGAAAATATTGTACATAAACCCATGTATATTGCCGGGTCAGGTAAAATCTTGTAAGTTACACGTTACACAAGAGCGTGTTTACATCACTTCGTTACACGTTACACAAGAGCGTGTTTACATCACTTAGGTGAATTATGCAACTCGCTTCCGCTCGTTGCACAACATTCACTTGCGTGATGTAAAAACGCTCTTACTACACTTGTAATGTAAATAGCTATCTTTATTGAACCCTGGCGTGACGTAATCTAAATATAGGACTACTCTAATCCATCGAAAAAAGTAAAAATTTAAAATATATTAATAGCACAATGATCAAAGACAGCTGGGTCCAGTTTTCGTAAGCTGAACTGTGCATAGCATAAAAGTACATGATTTTTATTCAACACAACCGTACGTTTGTTGCAATTGCTCTGACAAACGACTTCTGTTAGCCACACGCCACGGTTATCAGCAGACTCTTTATTTCTCAGCCTAATGGTCGCGTAGCATCACATGGTTCCGTACATTCACCCTCAACTCATGAGTCTATTTACATGCATTTCCATGTTGGATAAACCCAGTGATTCGTTAGCCTGGACAAGTACCTACACTTTACGTGTTCCTGATTGGACAAGAATTATCATAGATATTAAAGTATATAACTTAAAATACGTGGGTTTTACTAATAATTTATATTATTTCTCGAAAACGTTGCGTTACAAATTATATAGCCTAATAAAACTAATTATTAAGCTGCAAAATATACCAAATACAGACCATTAGGCTATTTAGATATAGACCCCTAGATAATTTACCTGCTTTCAAAAAATAAGAAAGTAGTATTTTCCTGCTACTTTCAATATAGAAATAAAAACTTAAGTAACGATAGATCAGCTAATCTAAGTGCAATTGGAAGCTGACCAAGAGTAGATTAGTAGATTAATTTTTATGCTTTCGTATTATGTTCACTAGGTGTTGCTCTACTTTTTTCAATAGGTTATTAAGCTATTTTTTAATCCCTATCAACTTCTGACGACAAGCAAATAAATGTAGAACAGTCATTAAACAACAGTTTTTTAAAAGATATTTAGGAATTTTTAAACTTGTAATTCTTTAGATTTGTGATAATCTAATTTCTTGAGGCTATCATCTAAACTCAGAAGCATATTTTCAAAGATAATTTACCTGTGAAAGGCAATAGATGGGATATATTGTTTTATATCAAACACTTTATTCACTTCACTTATCAAATGAAAAACCAGAACTGTAAACTTCAAATTCATTAACTTTCGTAAGGTTTAGTTTTCAATCGTTGTTTATTTTTCTTTCTGATAAAACAAACATTTTAATGACGTTTCTATCCTACTATTGTAACACAAACAAATAAAATAAATTGTACACAGGTACATAATTATTTCATCTTGTGTGTCTAGTCCAGGTGATTTAGTCGACAGATTATAAGAAAGAGAGGTAACCAAGTAATATTGATTAAAGTTTACCATTCTGGTACTTTCCTGTTAAAGGGAACATTCATTTTTATCGATGATTTTTTTCTCGATACATCGATATTTTTTTGTTTGATCCGATATACCGATATTAATGAACGAGAAATCAGCTGACAACTACGATAAGTAAATATTGTCCATTATCAACAAACAATTTAAAAATACTAGGGGAAACCCGTCGAAATCGACGGTTACTTTCAAGGCTTACGTTAATTCATCTAACTGCGATGAATTGGGTAAAATATACATATTTTGAGCATTTAACATTATTCAAAGAGTAAGTGTAAAAACAATAACAATATTGCGTTAGTTGCCAAATTTGGTTGTTCATTCAATGATTAAAATATTTCCTATCCTGTACGTCATCGGAGTTATTATTAGTATGTTATATGGTATCTCTTCCTTTGGTAGAACCTTTAAATAGTATTTAAATCGTATTGGTGGATCTTTTGTAGCTAAACACTTCCGTGATTTCATCAGTGTTTGAGAAAAAATATATGTTTGTTGAGAAGACACGTTCTAACTTCAAAGGGAGGTATATCCGTTACAGTGTAAGTTTGATTTTCCTTCGTCACGTCGCGTCAGTTCATATCGTACTTCTGTGCCAATGAATGAACCCTCTAGCATAGTTTTGAGAAATTGACTGTGGGGTTACTGATAAAGCTGGAATTCCTTGACATGGGGGATGTCAGTTAGTTGTCTCGGCTCTCGGCCTTATCAATAACATAAAGTTGTCAATATAATCTCTCTACGGAATGTTAGGTGTAGTGGAATACATGAAGTAAAGTTGGCTTTTATTCTTGAACTGTTAGGGGCCTCCTAGTTCATATGATCTTGGCGGCTTCATTGGCAATAAATAATGCAAATGACATAGCAATTGAACATTTCCAAAAAGCAAAAATACTTTAAAATGGCTGTTACGTATATATTGACGTTTACATATTGTTAATCAACGTATATGATAAATACTTTAATCCTTTAATACGTTTTTTTTATGGCGACCATTCATAGTAGGTAAGCCAAGTATGAATGGAGATGAGTGTAGGAAGAGTGGCGCGATCTTGAAGTCTTGTTAGTTACTAAGGCCAACATTCCTTAGATACAGCTGTTAATTAATAGCCCATACAGCGAATGGCAACCAAGGGATCTACAGTTTATAGTTGAATTTGAACCAATTTTTTTTTGCATTGGTATTTATGAATTGGTATAAGTATCAGGATAGCACTGCGGGTAGTCGTAGTACTCACTCGTGCGGACGTTAATCCACACCAGGGAGTATCGCATCCACAGTGCATTCCTATAAATATCCACAATTCGTGACCTCCTAGTAGCTGGATTACAGGACGACGCCACCCGTCCCAGTCAAAGGATTATGTGATCTAGTTTAAAAGGAATATGACCTTTCTGTCATGACAGTAGCTGCTTAAATAGTATTTTCTCTTTGTACCATATTTTACAGCCAAAATGTCGTGTTATTTTCAATAATGTTACTAATTCAGTGCGCCAAAGTCCGTAATATAGGCAGGTGCAAATTATTTGTCAAGATAGGTACCTTAGGCAATGTTTCTAAGTTTGGATTTTATTAGACACAATAAGAGCAGATATTTCTACATAAATATTTGATATTTTGTAGAATAATATGATAAAATGTAGGCAAAAGTGGCGAAAAAGGCACATACCAACCCGTACAATAGATATAAGATAGTTCAATAAGATATAATTTAAGAATTGCTGTGATAAAAGGATTTTCCACTGATTTCGTAATGGAATGTTATATTGCAAAACATGGCATGATAAAGAAGAAAATCAATTTTAAATTCAGAAAATAACATTGCAAATACTTATTTGGTAGAATTCAACTCCCAATAAATATGTGTTGTTTGAAATACAATTTTAAAAATGAACAGCTGTTTCATTAAATAGTTATTTGTGTAACTAGTGGTGAAAGTGGCACTTTGCTGCACACGAGAGCAATGTTTACGCACGAGCCGCAGGCGAGTGCGGAATGATCTCGAGTGCAGCAAAGGCCTTTTTCACTCGTGTTACACATTATATTTTTCCTACAGTCACTATAAAACATAAATAATTAGTCTTTCAAACACTATACAACACGTTTTTAGGTTCAGCTAGCAACACAATTACACAAATGGTGCCCTGGAGAAAGTAGTACCCGTGGTCCGTATCACTCCGCTATTTTTCCTCGGCAAGAAATGTGCTCCGTCTTTTGAGAATATAGTTCCGTATGTTTTTGTAATTTGAAGTGGTTTCCGCGCCTAAAAAAAATGCTTTAAAGGTATTTTCTTGTTTATTAAGACCGTAGGAATGTTTTAAAAACGTTTAAAAGAAAAGTCCAGAAAGTTCAGAAATACCAAAACTATAAACACGAAATGACAGGTTAAATCGTAGTTATAATAGTCAATCAGCTGTTCATAGTATTATTATCTTTAAGTGTTGCCAACCTATTTCCAAGCGTACACGGATTACGTGCATAATAAAACCACGCTGTTTTGTGTTGTTTGGTTGGAATCCTGATGTGCGGCAAAGTATAAACCGTGCGGCAAAGTATAAACCGTACGGCAAAGTATAAATATGCAGCAATTAGCAGCTTTCTGTACTATAAACAGTACAGGGAAGCCAACTTTGTCGGGTGACTGTAGGAAAAAGTATTATTCTCATGGCCAAAATGTAAACAACTCTGTGGAGGGATCTTTAAAGGCTTCTGGGGCAGAGTCCTAAGGGATTTTGCTTAGTTTTTCTGTTCATAACTCATCTACAGACCAAGACCTTTCTTTGGACACCTCTACCAAGTTTCTACGCCCAACCGTTCTCTCAAATTAGTGGGGACAAAGTTTCCAATCAAATATTTAGATTCCCCCATGTTAATCTTATGGGAGAAACTCCAACTTTGATGGCCTGTGGGGCAAAGCCCGAGGATTTTTACTACATGAATTGGTGAAAGGGGGTGTCTACACAAAAAATATTTTATTTTGACACGTCGTTTGTAAAACTCCGTCCATTATTAACGGAGGAGTAGTGTTTTCAAGAAATCGCCTTCACGTATTATATATAAGGATTATATTGAAATGACACTTTTCTAAACTAACCTTACCTAACCAACCAAACTTGCTGTAACATTTCCAAATCCCGTTTCATATTAGGCTACTCACATGCCTCTACTGTTATCAAACAAAAGTTTGAAATGGTACTGCAAGTTTGGTTAGTTATGGTTAGTTTAGTTTAGAACCTGGATCCACATAATATATTATTTTTGCCTAAACAAGATCAGTTGTCAATTCGTAATTTAATGTGTTTGAAGATACTAAAACAGAAGGAATGGATCGTAAAGGTAAACAAAAATATCGAAATATCGAAAGAAATCAGATCGATAATAATGAATGTTCCCTTTAACAGGAATGTACCCACATGGTACATTAATAAGTACTGTAGTTTTTTTTACCGATTAAGTCCGAAATAAGGTATAATTAGACAAATTTTGAAGGTAGTTTTTAGTCTACCGACTGCCAAACTACCAATAGCCTTTTTCTGACATTTACGTAACCTCAAGGGTTTATTGATAATCCGACATTTAAGTGGTCAGGGAGTTGTAATCTGATATTTATGTAATCGGGAAGTTAATGCATTATTTACGTGGTCGGGAAGTTGAAAATGCATTATTTACGTGGTCGGGAAGTTAATAATGCATTATTTACGTGGTCAGGAAGTTGAAAATGCATTATTTACGTGGTCGGGAAGTTAATAATGCATTATTTACGTGGTCAGGAAGTTGAAAATGCATTATTTACGTGATCGGTATGTTGATGATACAGTATCGTTTTTGAAAATTGTTATACATATATAAAACATTAAGAGGTTTATTGACTATAATGAGAAATCATATTTGGAAAACATCAAACTTAATCAGTCTTTTAGCTGTTTTAATCATTCATTATATTTCAGTGTATATTTTCTGTGTCATTAGCAACCTTATTTTTTAAGACAGACTTAATTATTGTATTAATAAATTCATCTCTCATGACCAGGAGAGTGATTATTAATGTGACATATACGTGACCGAGAAGGATTTGGGAGTACAAAACAAAAACGATTAAGTTACTAAATTTTAGCTCTACATAGTAATGTGATAATTAAATGTGATGTCCCGAACCCGTAGTGCTGAATAAGGTTTTGTATTACTGTACCTATATAATTTAAATCCAATTAGGCCTACCCGTATTAAATAGATTTAACTGTTGCAAAAGGTCTTTAAGTAGGCCAACTGCTAAAACTGAACTGACAAACAACCAAGCAAACCATAGTGATGTACATATATTTACTGTATTGACCACCGCACCAAACTGAGAACGGCGACCCGAAAATGCAAGAAGTTAAGTATTGAACAAAAAAATCGGCTAGTGACCAATTTATTACAGCGTCAGCTTACCCAGTGTATCATACTATCAACGGATCATCGAGTGCCAACGTATTCCTAAATTCATTTTAGTAATTTGATAAATTAAATTATTTGAACTAAAACGTAATTAAATCATTCTTGATCAATTCTACAAGCTATAAACCTACCCATGTCACTGAACACCTCCATCGCCAATAGTCCTAGGCTACTGAGATGCACGAGTGTTGTGTTGGGAGGAGGTTGCTAGGAAATACTGACCACAACAACAACACAGGGGTGATTGACCACAGGTCAGAGCTACACGCACTCTGCACTCTCTCTACCTCGGCCACCGTGACTGACCACAACAACACAGGGGTGACTGACCACAGGCCAGA